TTGACCTGGAACGCGTTTTTTGACCTGATAGGTCAAGTCGTTAATTAACCAATCAAAATGCTGGATGATGCCAACGTGATCAAATTACCATAGCTCATTTAAATAATGTATGAACGCAATGCGGAAGTGATTTGCCGATGTTTGCGATATTTTGGCTTTGATTTTGGTGGGAAAAACGGCATGATTTTTTTTTCAAATCAAGAAATTAGTTATTTTTGGAAAGTAAACTGAGCATTTAAAGAATAATTTAACACTGTTTACTGTGACAACAGCGCATTTGAAACAGAACATTTTCGCGTTGTTTTAATTTCGTTTTTATGGACTTACTGCGAAATTAAAAACCACGCTGATATTTTCTACAGTAGACTAAAAAGACATGTTTCAAGAGATTATAGATCGATTTCTTAAAAATTGTTAGAAACAAAACCAATTTTTTTTACATAAAAGCCATTCGTACAGTAACAGCGAGGGACTTCCGCGATCGCGTCCATCGCTACGAACCGGTAACCGGTAGTCGATCCGCCGGCGCCCAATTCACGATCATTACGTGCCAAAATTTCAACTTTGTCTGGCGCTTAATTGAGGTGTAAAATACGAAGTTTTTGTGGCACTGGCGCCTAATTGAAGGTGGCGCTTAACTGAAGACAAATACGGTAGTATTTTTGACTCCCATGTGCGAAGCACAAAATGGGAGTCTTTGCAGTTAGTGTGTCTGTATGTGTGTGTGTATGTGTGTATGTGTGTATGTGTGTATGTGTGTGTGTGTGTATGTGTGTCCGACTGTTCCACTGCTATCTCAAGAACCATACATCGGTTTTTGATGAAACTTGGTGCATAGATGCTCTGGGCCAATGCGCAGATTTGATTAGGTTTTGGTAAAAATCCATGCTCGTTAATTACCTAATTTGCATGATAATTAGCTAATTTTTAGCTGTTCTATGACTGTTCCACTGATATCTAAAGAACCACTCATTGGATTTTGATGAAACTTGGTACATAGATGCTCTGAACATATGCGCAGATTTGATTAATTTTTGGTAAAAATCCGTGCATATTAATTACCTAATTTGCATGATAATTAGCTATTTTTTAGTGGTTCCATGACTGTTCCACTGATATCTAAACAACCACTCATTGGATTTTGATGAAACTTGGTACATAGATGCTCTGAACTAATGCTAGGTTTTGATTAGTTTTTGGTAATAATCCGTGGATACTAATTACCTAATTTGCATAATGATTAGTCAATTTTCGGTTTTTCCACTGATATCTCAAGTACTAATCATCACATTT